TACTGCATGTTACCATATAATTATGCTATATATAAGATTTTCAACACGTTGTATTTTAGGACTTTAAAGTTTTGTTCATCACATAAATCTGTTGCTGCGGAAAACTCTCACTCTCCAATTGTTACAAAGGGACATTCTGTTTGAAGTGGTCTCGGATACAACACAGCATTCTCTTCTATGAGCTAGCAAAGCAATGCAATTCACCAAAAATGTCAGTGCCTACTAAAGATAGAAATCTCTACACACAAATCGCTTCATATTTTATTGTTACCATTTTTATCCTTTGACCTTTCTCAAGACATCCATATAGAAAAGAAGCTTCTTGTTACAAAGCTAAGATTTAGTTGATGCATTCTATTCATATTCCTCCCTGTATCCAAAATGCCGACAATGGGAAAAAAAGTGTTTAGCTACAAGTGTACTGTATCAAGTAGAGAATGGTAGAAAGCATGAGAGAGGTGCAATGTGACACATATTCTCAGTCATCAGCTGACTACATGTTATGTGCCTAATATGGCACCATCACACTCCATGATGTGAAATAATTTTTGAAAAGATTGTTTTCCCTTACTGATGTTTAGTTGTTCCTCAACCGATCTGCTTGTTCCCTTTTTCATTCTGGTTCCCACCAGTAATTAGGAATGGGATGTAACTGCCGATGACTTTAGTGCGGGATCAGAACACACCCAGCCATTATGAAAAACCCAGGGACCCATAATGTGGTGTGGACTTGGCCACTAAAACCATGGGGTGGAAAGCCAGGAGGGGAGTGGGGGCTGGTTTCTCTCGGTTGCTCTTTGAATTGTTGCTTGTGCCCTTTCTAGCCTTTGGCCTGTCATGAGAAGTTTCTCTCTGCCCATTTTTAAAATTGTTTTCTGTTTGTTTCCTCTGCTCTTTTTGTCAACGTCTCCCTGAGTTTCACCTCCTTCTTTACCCTCCATCCCCTCTCACACACTCTGTCTCACTCCCACTCTCTCTCGCCACAATAAGACCTAATATGAACTTTTGACAGGAGCTGGGATCTTTGTTTAATTGCCAATGTTACTGTGAATGCCCCCATAAATCTAATGCTGTAATGCCTTTGAAACGCCTTCTAGGCCTTGCAATCTCTCTCTCTCTCAGTCTCTCTCTCTCTCACACACACACACAATCCCTTTCTCGCTTTCTTTCACTTTCCTTCACATACACCCAAACACATGCACAATTGCACACACAGATGTGATGTGTGAGAGTGAGGGCTTTGAGGTTGTTTGTGCTCGCAACAGACACAGCAGCTCCAGTGTTTGTTTGCAATTTCCACTGGCTCCGGTCCACTCCACCAAACCCATGGGAATTTGTGGATCAGCATCTTCTCAAAAAGCTCCTGGGCGTCAGAATGTATAACTGAGCAAGGAAAGAGTGCAATGAGTGCAGTGAGGCTGTTATTTTTATGTGGCATTTCTGATGTGTTCTGTACGCCACAGTTTATAGTGGAGGGTGACAAGGCAAAAAGGAGAGCAAGACAAGTGGTGACATAATTTAAGAGACAATCTGACACTCAATAACCAGATCATACTGGAGAAAAATTAATCACTGAATGTATTACATTTGCTTCTTGAAATGGAATTTTGTAAATCTTTATGTGGCTTTTTTTCTGATTATACACTCAAACGTCATTTTGCTGTTTACTTTCATTTTTCTTAACCCACTTAATCCAAAATTTTTCCTAGAAATTTGAGTACATGCATTTTACTCCTTAGACCTTCCTAACACAAAAATTATGGCCTTTTTGATTTTATGTCGGTTAAGTTAGTGAAATATTAGGTCACTTGGTCACTTGTCACGATAGTGACCAAGTATAAAACTCACACAAATAAAAAATTCACACAAATTCTTCAATTAGACCAAGCAAATTAAAGCAATAAAAAAACAAACATTACAAAACACAATATCATTTCAAAAACATTCAGCATGTCAGAGCAGGCAGACATAAACTGTGCCTTAGAACAGTGGTTCCCCAGGGGTCCTTATGGTGGTTCCAGGGGGTCCTCAGCAGAGAGGGGGATAGTTTTTTTTTTTACTATCATTCCATCCATAAGTAACTCAATTACTATTTCGGTTATGGGTTTCATACACTTTCTGTACTAAAACATCTACCAATCTAAACCAATTTAACATACAGTACCGATCAGTCTTTTACCCCTTTCAGACCTGTAGGCCTTGCTTCATTGTAGACATCACGGTCATATGACCAAGACAAGTGATGTGAGAAGATGTGAGAAGAACCCTGTCAGCAACTCATCCATGTTCAGATTGGTTTGCACTATAGGTATTTGACATAATTAATAATAATTATTGAATTAGCTGACACTTTTATCCAAAACCACTTTCAATTTCTATATATGTCAGAGGTCACACGCCTCTGGAGCAACTAGACACTGGTTAAGTGTCTTGCTCAGCGACACATTGGTGGATGTATCATAGTGGAAATATCTCACACCAAAGGCATGTGCCTTAGCCACTGCTCTGTCGCCACCCCTCTATTGACATCTCAAACCAATTGGTTCTCATGAACATCTGCCTCATCCTCCAGATATTGCCATTTATTAGTCTACCTATCTGAGCCATCACTATCACAGTCACTTTCAAATGCCACTTTTTCAAATGTAGGAATGACCATGATGCTGCACACAGCACTTGGGGGGTTTCGTATGTCTAGGAGGTCCAACACATCTGATAGTTTCAAAATGTGTCAAAATAAACAAATGATAACTAGGATCACAGCCAAAACCTGTGTTTTCAATTGAAGCACTGTGTTATACTACTGGTCACAATTAAACACCTCTTATGAGCAAAATATGTATGCAGGAGTATAATTCTCAAAACATATCAGTAGTAGACACTTACACTACTTACTTTTTACTTACTACTTTTTGTAACAGTCTGAGGAAGACATCTTCTTCCAGGTGTGCAAGCAGGAAGCAAACTAATCTAAGTCATGTGACCTTTCATACTAGTCACATGATATTGATCAGTTTTATTGATTGATCAAGACAATCTATTTTTTCATTTAAAAGTTGAATTTCTTGCCCAAAGCCAACAATACAACTTTTAGAGCTTCAGAAATAACATACAAAGACACGGTCACAAATGAATAAATAAATAACATATTTTCAATACAGAAATTCCCTACAGAAAGTTTGATAAAATTCATTGAGAATATTTTCATGCATTTCTGCATTTAATCAAATTACTAATACTAAAAATAAAACAAATACTCAAACAGGGTGAGTTGTAGTTTTATACATTAGCTGTTACCAGAGATGCTCTCAAGTCTCTGAGCAAGAGACCAAGTCAAGTCTCAAGTATTTGAGCTAGAGTCCAAGTCAAGTCTCAAGTCTCTCGTGGTTATTACGAATGTTATATCATCTGCTGTGTTCAATCCAGGTTGCTTATAAAACTGCATTGCTATAAGGAATACTGTAACTGTAACCTGTTTTTCATTTACAGAGCGCAACAATGTAATATGCAATACAATTATTGACAGCTTATTAAATACTGTAAGACAACACACTCCCCAGACTCTTAAACCCAGTGTAACGTTAACTAAATAAAACTGTGACGTTGCATAATCAACAATAAAGCTGTAACCTTTTTAACTTACAGAGCACAACCATGTAATGTGCAATGCAATCAATGACAGCTTAAACTACTGTAATTCAACACATCCCCCACTCTCAAACCAGTGTAACGTTTTAATTAAATAAAACTGTAAGGTTACATGATCAACAATAAACCTGTAACCTGTTTCTAGCCAATGGTAATAATTAACGTGATGGCAGCCAGCAGGACGTAAATGATTACGTTAATCGACTACCACAAGTTTGGCAAGTAAACAAACACTCATTCATCTTTTCATAATGAACAACAGTCGGAGTAAACCTCTTGTAGGTCGTAGCTGAAACAAGAAGCAAGCTAACGTTAGATGGCCAATGCTGAGCTAGTGGTGTTTAATCACCACAGGTTACTAACCTATTGGCGTTCAGCGCTTCTTTGTTTGGGTCTTGTTGTATGAAGTTTAAATCCAAAGTTTATGATGAATGGCACAGCAGCTGCGGTGTTTGTTGTCCTCTCTCACGTGCGGCCACGCGCAGCAGATGCTATGTGTTACGTAGGCAGGTTATAGGTAAAGGAGGGAATAACAGCAAGCTCATCAGAAGTTTCCTAAAAAATAAACATTATTCACGAGTCCCGCACCTCGAGTCCGAGTTGAGTCTGAAGTCTTTTGAGGACGAGTCTCAAGTCGAGTCTCAAGTCACTGTGTGTGCGACTTAAGTCGAGAATTGTTCCTCCAGTACCCCCATACCAGTAAGTAGGGGTGTACAAAGATGTCATTATCTATATCTGTTCAACCAAAAAAATAACCTGTCTCTGTATCTATGAGTGTTGTTCCTCTGCTATGTAGCAAATGTAGAAATCACAGCTGGAGGATCCAACATGAGCATTTAGCATTTAGTCACAACCAGCATGCGCCTGTTGGTCACGCAACAACTTGAGTGGGTTTTATTTGTGTCAGTTAGTGTGCTTGCCAGGTGGTACATTAAGTCAGTGATTAATTAAGGTAGATGCAACCTTGTTTTTAAACAATGCCGAGGTACAATAATGCTACTGCTCACAAACCGCTAGGCCCGGACTGGTGAGAATGCAACCATCCCTCTGACACTTGGCCAGTGAAGCTGTCTGGAGCTCTGCCCTCCCACAGCCACAGTTACCTTGTTTTCATCATAGGCCAGATACACTCTGTGGGCTTTTCAAGTAGACATATATAAAAACATTCAAAAAGACTTATACATTCTTGCCAAGTTGTCTAAAGCTAGCAGACAACTAATTCAAAGAAGATACAAAATCACTCTGTCATCCTATGGTACATTTTGATGTTCATAACCTGGACCAAGAAATTTGAAACTGTGCGTGTAACCAGCGTAGCACATGTATGTAAACGCATTCATTGTTTCTTTCAGGTGTGGTAGTCAGAGTAAGAGGGGAAGATCAACTTGTCTAGACATGACTGTGAGGGTAAGTGTTACATTTTCTCTTTGTTGTCTGTTACAGTATTCAATGCCTGTTGGTCTTTGCACATCTCTGTTTCCATCTCTCTTTCTTTATCTTTGCAGCCCTGATGTTTTTTTACTCTTATTGTCTTTCTCCCTCTCTCTCTCTCCCTCTCTCTCTCTCTCTCTCTCTCTCTCTCTCTCTCTCTCTCTCTCTCTCTCTCTCTCTCTCTGTGTGCTCCCACAGCTGATTACATGAATAATTTACAGCATGTAAATCCTCAGCAGCTGCTTGCTGTTTTGGCCTGTGTTCCTCTCGCTTTTCTCCTTCAGCTTAACATGGGAGTATTATTCTCAACCATGTCACCTATCCTTCCCTCTCTCTCTTCCTTTTCTGTGTCTGGGGTTAAGCTCTCTCTCTCTTTCTGTCTTCTCTCATTCTCTCTAATTACACAGTTCTCAGTTGCACCCCTGTGTCTTCCCTTGAGTTTGTATGGCCTTATGTAAGGACTGGCTTTTTTTTTTTTTTTTTTGCCATGATGGGAAGTTTAACTCAGCAACAGTTGTTTGTTTGTGTGTATATCTGTCTTGACATGTGTCTTTCACTGTGTGTCTGTATGTGTAGGAACACACAGTTACTATATGGTTTCAGATCCTTGCAATCAAGACACTTGGGGGAACTCAAAACTCACTGTGATTACAGTTCTACAGCAGCTGTGCCTTATGTACAACTGGGGAGTCTTTTTTTCTGTCACTCCAGGCTTAAAATGCTTTAAAAATGATCTCAAACTGTGCTGTCAAATTAGTTTTTTCTTTCTTTTATTCTTTGGTCCCTTCAATCAAGTTTTTTCATATACACATGAAGTAATTTCATGTTGAAAAGAAAGACAAAACTAATGGTTACACACAAGAAAATCTATCAAAAAATAGTGTGAGGCTAATTCAAGGAAAAAGAGACAAGGGAAGGAAGCATTACCTTTGGCTCTGTTAAATAATTTCTTTCCTCCATTCAGTTTCCATTGTTCGAAGCCAGGGCCGATCTCTCCAATATTACTGCTAATCTAACTTCAAAGGGTTGCAGTCATGTTAAAGCACTTTTTAATTGTGATAAGGAATATGCTTTCATGCTTAAACCCTTCTCCTCTGTTCGTCTGGACAGAACCCATAAATATTGAGGCCTTTTTTTCATTGCCAATTAAAATTAGAATGGGTCACATTTTTCACTGTCAGCCATTTCCTTTGCACACAAAGACATGTGTGGGCCACACATACACGTAGATACACACATCCATACAGACGCAGAACCAGACATTGCCATATGTGTCCATGCAGAAGCACATACACTTTATTTAGTGTTTTTTGCCAAAGCTTGCTTTATGTCCTTTAGACATTAAGAAAACCTCTGCAAAACTAAACATGCTCAAAAGCTTTGCTACTCTGGCAGGGCTGATGATTCACCACAGGCTTCCCTGTTGTTCCTATGACACATGAGATGCAGGCTGCGCCGTATTGTCCAGAGATAACACAATAAGATGATTCACTTGAATCACTTGCAGTCCAGTGCTTTTGACACGGAACATTCATGTAGTTTTGATATGTACACAATATTTTGAGCCCGTGGAGCAGAACAATGTAATTCTGTTGTGACAAAATCAATTTAGATAACAATACATTGTACAGAACAAGGGCATGTGAAAATGTACTATTGGATGCAGTTGTTGGGTAAATGGCCAATCTATTTAGCCTCAAAATGATATGCTTAAGTTAGGCCTAGACTCTAAGCTTCGACAATGAGTACATCTTAAGATTGTCTCCACAAATTTAGAGGAATAATAATAATAATAAGAAGAAAATGCTGCCAAATACACAGTGACATGAGAAGATGATATGAGTTTCATCTTGCGTGCGTCCTTAGAGCCAGAATGTTTTAGCCTAGCATTGAACAAAGACAGGAAAAAGGAAATGTAAGCGTAGATCTTTCAGAAAAAATACTTTCTGTGTTATAAAATGTACCTAGGGGACGTTGAGTTCAGTATGAATAGATCCTGAGTCTGCATAATTATCTTATACTGCCAATGCATGCATAACCAAGCAGTTTTCACTTACGCGCATATATTACAACCTTTGCCTATCACCGTAGCTCACACTACAGTTTTGATAGGGCAACTATGTTTGACAAAAAAGTTACTTGAAATTAAGTTTCCTATGTTGCCACTGATGCATTAATTATAACATCATAAGTTGCATGTGCATAAGTCCACGAGGTTGGTCAGTGTTCCCCCTTTTTAAGGTTCATACATTCAATACAGGAAAACTCATCCAGTGACATACAGCGTTACTGACACTGCAATCAGATTGACAGCTTTAGCTTCACTGCAGTAGCTCTCACACTTCACCACAGCACAACTTTGCATTGCAGTCAGTCACGATTTTTGACATACTGCAAATTGTTCGAACTGAGTTCCTCAGTGACAACACTTGGAATGGGATTTGTAAGTTTCGAGAATAAACTATTAGTGACGGTGAAGGAAAAGAAGGGGCTGGATTTCGGTTCGTTCCCCCTCACTTCAGCTCACTACAGTCTGCCTTTAACACTGAAGTCAGTCTGGGTATTGAGTTTTGGCTGACATGGCTGGGTTGGCTCACTGCTTGTTTAGCAGTCTGAGCCAAGCATGTGCATGTGCTGCTGTGTGTGTGTGTGTGTTTGTGTGCAGGCATGTCTGTGCTTGAGTTTCTGCAGGATTTGCCTGCATGCATGTGAATGCATGACTTTGTGTGTGTGTGTGTGTGTGTGTGTGTGTGCCCCTATGTGCCTGTATGACCTGATTGTGTGTCTACAGTATATATCCTCATGTGCAGTGAGCAAGGGCTGTGAACCTTGGTGGGGTGTTCTGTTCTTTTTTTTTTTTGGTTGTTGTGCAGCGTGGCCTCATTACCCAGGTGTTTACCCCCAACCACAGGAAGCACTTGTCAGTGATGACTGTCTGCCGGCAAACATTGCCTGAGGGAAAGAAAGACAGGGAGGGAGGAAGAGAGAGAGGGAGAGAGACAGGAAGACAGAGGGAGGTGGAATCATAGAAACACAGCTTTTAAAATGTACAGTGCTTATGAGAGCATCTATCTATCTATCTATCTATCTATCTATCTATCTATCTATCGTGCACACCTCTGTGTGTGTGTTTCTTTTTCCTAAATGTGTGTGCATGTGTGTCTGTGTGGTTGTGCCAGTCAAATCCTTGCTGGCAGGTCATTGGGTTCCTCCAGTCCTTCACCAGTGGAGGGAGGGAGGGAGGGAGGAAGGGAGGCGAGGAGGAGGAGGAGGAGGAGACATACAAGCTGTTGACAGGGATTTATGAGCTGATAGTGTCAGACTGCAAGCACAACAACAGTCTCCCTGTCTCTGCCTGTCTGCTCACTGAGAGAGAGAGAGGGAGAGACAGAGAGTGACAGAAAGAATAGAGGGGGCAGGGGGGCTGAAGAGAAAGTGAGGCAGCAAAATGAGTTGGAAAAGAAAGAGCAGAAGAAGGGAGTAAAAATAGAAGGTAGAGGAAGACAATGAGGGGAAGAGGCAGGATTGGGATGTAATTTAATTTGTTTAGGGTTTTTTGCTCATTTCTCCTATCACAATGTTTCTTTTTTTTTCTTCACGCACCTTTTTTTCCTCTCTCCTCTCTTCTTTGCTTCAACATCACCATTGTATGAGCTGACTTGTTTGTTGTTTGGCTTTTGTTTTTTGCTTGTTTAGACGTGTGTGTTCATGTTTTCAATATAAACCAAAGGCAATTGTTGGTCTCACGTGAGCACAGTGATGATGATAAGGATTGATTATATACTGAACTTCTTGTATTTAACTGTTTTTGTTTTTTCTTTCTTGTTTCACTGCACTGTATCACCAAGTCAGATCCCTGTGTACATTGTACATTTGGCAAATAAAGCGATTTCAACTCTGGACAATAAAATTTCATCCACTGTGTTGTGGTGTCACATTAAGATTTCATGGATTACATGTTTGATAAGATTATTACAATGAACTGTGGACAATTGTTCATTCTCAACTGTTTAAGAATAAACAAGCTATTGATATATTTTAGCGCATTAGACAATCATTCTTTGTGGCTGCGTGTCAGTGAGTCAGTGTGAATCAACTAGAATGTTCACTGCTAGATGACACACACACCGATATAGTTGGACTGTCTGACATTTGAGAGAGACAGTTTGGTGGGAAATTCTGTCTTAATTGCTGTTCTAAGCAAAAGTTCATAATGTCTGATTCTATTTTAGGTTTGATGAACTCCATCCTCTTTGAGCCTATTTAGCCATGGGTCCTTTTCAGATGAGGCTGTAGATAGTTTTATATAGCTGTGTTTTCCTCACCAGACTACATGAGTTTGCTGATACTAGTTAATTCAGCCATTACAAGTTCCATTCTTTGGTTCACTTACACTGACACTGAGAAATAGTGAATGTCAAAACTGCAAGTCTGTAACGATGTACTGTACCTAAAATTTTGATTATTCGTATTTAGTTACACGTGCGCTTAACATAGAATTTGTGAGACACAAATGTATGACCCACTCCTGTCAGTTGTTCCTTGTATATTCTCAAGTCTAAAAACATGCTGTACAGACATCCAGCTTCTCTGACAAGACACTGGCTTTCAATTTTGGATATTGTATAATAGTGCCTAAAATACCATACCCTGTTAAATGTTATGATTGTCATAATAACAGTGATCCAAATAAGGAGTCTGCCAGACTGCCAAGTTAGGAGACAGACAGCCTGACACACATACCCCCTTAGGGTAATATAGACTACTAGTGATTTATATGCCGGTTCCTGTTTAATGATATAGTATTAAAGAGTGGTGATTTATGAGGCCGTTTTCATTTCGCATAGACACTTAGATTCAGACTCAGGGTTTAGCTTACACTCTCCAGCATGCTGAGTAATGATCCCATGCTGAGTTTCCCAGAATAGCAAACTTCATTATGTTTTTCAGAACCCATGTCTATAGATAATGGTCAAAGCATTTTGTTTAGTGCAAAATGCAATGCCAGTGGATGTGCACACATTTTAATTTGTACAGTGAAGGCAACATGATCATGTGCAATATCATAATATTATCACAGGTACCCCCACACTCTCCATCACCAGTGAAATGCTCAAAATATTTCTATGAATGATGTTTCTATTATTTTTATCCTTTGGTATTTTTCCAAAATGTTAATTTTATTAACATACATTCATCTTTGTATATGCGCTCTCTCTCTCTCTCTCTCTCTCTCTCTCTCTCTCTCTCTCTGTATAATGCAGATCTGCAAAGAAACCTGTGTGAAAACAGTAAAGGAAAATGAAGATCAAGAGGAAAACAGCTAGATGGAGAGAAAACATCAGAGCAGGGAGGGGAGATCAATTTAATTTAGTTAAATTATGTATATTTGTCGCATAAAAGGTAACATGTTTGTCATCTCTGTTGTCATATGAGTTTGGGATATGCAATGTTAGAAAAACATTATGCATTGATGTTATTTTGTACGTGTTGTATAGTGAAAATCCTAACAAGTATTGCCGGCAAGTTTTGTTTATGTTGTTTTAAAAAACAATCCGAGGAAGTGTTGTCATATTTCAGTGGTTCTCAATGGGGTCAAGGGATCCTTCAGCGGGTTCCAGGAGGTCCCCAGCAAAAAAGGGGAATCATTTATTTTCAAAATAATTCCATAATATAAGTTACACAATGACAGAATGTATGGCTGTTTTAGTCACGGGTTTCATGCAGTTTCTGTAATTTAACATCTAAAAGCAAAAATCCTATCAGATGGGGGACCCTGGGACAAAATCAGATGGGGGTCATTGATGGAATTTGTGTCAGTTTAAACATTCCTGATGTGAAAACGTTTGAGAACCACTGTTACGTAGGTGCTATTCTCTTTTTGTTCCACAATACTCTAAATGCATTTTTTAAAGCACGTAACTTTGTAGATTTGAGAGTAAATGTGGTCAGAAAGACAGTTTTGACAATCCTTGTGTCTGGTGCAATAACATGTTCATGTATGTGCACTGTATCTGTTAAGAAGCAATGATCCCAGTATGGTCACAGGGGAACAAAGGGACATGTACTCATACAATATGTAAGGGTATGTGGAGAAATATTCCCTGACTATAGTGCTCTCATGTGACAATATATGTACAGTGTTTCACTTTTATCATCTCAACATAGATTATTAATGAATATTGTACTGTCCTATGAAACATCTAGATAATATAATGTTGAAAAAAAGAATGTTAATAGTTACTCTAAAGAAAACTATACTTGTCTAATGAGAATCTAGCAGTGCAGCAGTTGTGCATTGTGCAGCGTACCTCTTCCTTTGCAACATCAAGAGAAGGAGACAATTGCTTTCTCTTCCACTTCTGTGCTGTAAAGCACTGTAAGTAGCTTAGAGCTGTGTTGCTTGCTGCAGGGTGCAGTGGTACGATGGTGGTACCTTACTTCTACCCACCATGTCTGACTTTGGCTCTTAAAAAAACATTGCATCATAGATACAATGGTGTTTTAAATTCTAAAGTAAATGGCTTTTCAAGCCTCCTTTAGACAAAATGTTTGTGGTTACATCCTTTATCTTTACAAGTTCAGTTTGACATGTAATGATAGAAACCACCTTTCAACCATAATGATAGGTGTACTTTACCTACCATCTAAGTCATATACAATTATGTGGTTTTCTTTTTACTTTACAGTCGACACGGACTTTCTTCTTCCTCTAAAAATTCCATCCATCCATCCATCCATTGTCAACCGCTTATCCTGCGCACAGGGTCGCAGGGGGCTAGAGCCAATCCCATCTTACATTGGGCGAAAGGCGGGTAACACCCTAGACAGGTCGCCAGTCCATCACAGGGCCACAGACAGACAAACAACCACTCACATCCACACCTAAGGTCAATTTTGGAGACACTAAAAGCATGCTGCATGTCTTTGTATGGTGGGAGCAAACCAGATGCACCTGGAGAGAACCCACGCAGACATGGGGAGAACATGCAAACTCCACACAGAAAGGCTGGGGCAACCTGGGTTTGAACCCATGACCTTCTTGCTGTGCGGCAATAGTGCTAACCACTGCAACACCACACCGCCCACTCTAGATATTGTTATATTTTAATTAATGACCTGACATAGGCTAACAAAAACCATGCTAAGAGGCTACAGCTACACTAGTGGCTCTGTAGCGTTAGGCATGCTTTGAAGACGTTTTTGAGCTAAATGCTAACATCAGCAAGCTAACATATTTTCACTGGCAATACTAAAATGCTAATGTTATCCAGCCATCAACTGTCGAGACACTTCACTATAACCCTAAAATATAAATATGTGGCAGAAGTGGAAAAGTCTGGGGTTTACCAAGGTCACTAGGTGAATGTTTTGAATGTTTTAACCAGTCATTCATGTGAGATTTTCTTTCTGTAAATAAGATAACATATTTTCAGCAAGTGTTGAAAATCTAAAATAACAGAGCTGGGTTAGCCCTATTACACCCCTCAATGAACAGTTTTGAGGCCTCCCTATCTGCCTCCCTCCATCTTTGTCTGTGGTTACTAACCCCAGCTACAGTGGTCAGAAATGGGCCCCCGATGTTTTCCATGGACAGTTTATCACACTTCCTTCCATACTTCTGGGCCCCCAGTCAGTCTGCCAGACAGGAAAATCAAAGACTGTGGGACATACCATTACAGTGCAAATGGTATATTGCACTGTACAACATGTTGATGATATATAACCTTAAAGTCTCACAAGTAAATACAGGAATGAGGTCTGAGCTGAGTTTAGCTTTAAATGTTTGAATTGCACATTGAATTGATTGAAAGTGATTTAAAATCATCCTACACATTGAATGGTATGGCAAAATTATTTAATTTGAATGTCTGTGAATGTCATTTTGTTGGAACTGTATTGAGTTGAATTTCATTAAAGGTATTTAATAAATAATTTGGGATTCAGCCGATTTCACTATCATTGTGTGGTATGGGTCTAAATGTCAGGTAAAATAATTGTATTACTTTCTAAGGTCAGTTTGTCATTCTTTCTGTCAGTCTAGCCTGGCTTCACAGTCATTCTATCAAACATTGAAAAACACATTTCCTAAGAGGGAACAGAGCAAGGAACACAACCACCCCTTCCTTCATCAAACATTGGGCCTTATTACTGAGAGTTGCTAGATCATCAATTGTGCTTTGAAGATAGAATCATCATTTTTGGATGGTGAATAAAGTAGATGTTTAAATGTTTAATAGCATGCAAGCTGTATTGTGAACATATACCTTGTTATAAAGAAAACGTCCTTGTTTCTGACTTATTAATGATCTTTTATAAAGTAGTAGATAGTGAGGTAGAATACTCAGTTCCACTGAAATAGTAAACATATGTCTGACATACAGTACTTAATAATAAACTAACTTAGTAGGGCAAACTGTAAGTTCTTGAGTAGTCTCCTTACATTTCTTGTAACTTTTGTTCTGAAGAAGAAAAACAACACCATGTCTTCTGAAACTTGAAAGGGTTGAGGGATGAGGGGTAGGGGTCGAGGTGTAATGGATGAACGGTTGAGGGGAAGACCGGTGAGGGATGAAGGGGAGGAGTTGGATCCGTGCCGATGGATGCGTGAGTGAAGAGTAGACCGGTGTCTGCTGGCGAGAAGGTGTACAGGAACTGGTGGAGTCGAGACTCTCAGTGGGGGACCCGTCTCTTGGTCAGCAGATGTGCGGAAACCCCCAAAAGAACTTCAGATGGAAAGGTGTGCGTGAGCGTTTCTGATATTGTTTAGGTCGTTGTAAATGTAAGTGAGGTATGCTGGTGAGGACCATCAGCCAAGGATTTGATAATATTGTCTGGGATTCCCTGCGTGGAGGCGGTGGAGGTGGCAATAACCATCCCTACTGGTTGGGGAGTAATTGACGGTGGGGGAGCTATGAGAGTCTGTCTGCGGAAAACGTTTGGGTTTGGAAGTGTGGTCTAGGGTGCCCCAGTATGTCCCTTGGTTGAACTGCTGCCCTGGTCGGCAGCTTGGGACGAAAAGAGGACATGGTAGATGTAGAAACTGAAACTGAAACCGAAACGCAAGGTTTGATAGGGCCGAGAGCAGTTTGCAGTTCCCTGGGAATAAGCGTAACCCGCTTGTGAGGATGGATTAATCAGTGAAGTGAGGTCAATGTGGTTACCGCCGAGAATCTGTTGCCTGACTGAGGGTGACACTGGGAATGGTCTGGCTGGCCCGTGGGGCACACCAGAGGTCTTGTTGTGGCTAAGGTGAAGTGATTAGACGGGGGTGGAAAAGTTGAAAGACCGGAGCTTTGGGGAAAATGGGTGCATTAGAAGAAATTAAAGTCACATTTGATGCATTTGGGAAATGGGGAGGAGGAGGGGGAAAAGAATAGACAGGAGTAATGGTTTGGCCGATTGCGCTTTCGTGTGTGATATGTGTAGGTTGTGGTCTGGGCGGCTGTGGTAGCCGGTATCGGGGTAGGAACGGCCGATGGTGCCAGAGGAGATGGGAAAGTTGGAACAACAGAAGAAGAAAGGTTGCTGGGATGGAGGGATGCATATGCTCGGGTTGATAATGATGCTTGAGAAGTAGAGAAGAAGAGGTTGGGGTGCAACTGGATTTGATACAACCTGGCCCTGCGTGAGGGCTGATGTGGGGTTGTATTGAGCTTCTGTTGCCATGGGATGCGCCACGGAGTCGTTGGCGTTGCCCCCGAAGTAGTGCCGGTGACCCGGAAGTGCTGGGGAAGCTCGGCGTTTGGAGAGTTGTGTGTTGAAGCGAGTCTTTGTACAGTTGAAAAAGTTTCACTTTTTTGTCGAGTGCTGGAAGGAGATGTTTCTCTGGTTGAGTTCTTGTTCAAGCTGGAGGGATGTCGTCACAGAGACAGGGAAAGTAGCCACACACTTCTGGTTCACCAACACCTTCGCCAAATTTGTTATTTGTCTTCGTTACTCTGGGCCTTTGTTCCGCATTGGGACCACCTCCACCACCTCCAGGCAGGGAATCCCTGACAATATTATCAAAACCTTGGTCGATGGTCCTCACCAGCATACCTCACTTACATTTGCAACGACATAAACAATATCAGAAATGCTCACGCACACCTTTCCATCTGAAGTTCTTTCAAGGCTGTGTGCTTAGAGAGCCGAAGCCGCGATCTCTCACTGGAGCTGCTGATGGGAGAGGGCCCGACAATATTCGAATGGTCGGAGACTGTTGGCTGAGATCGCCGGGGAATATGAATAGCTGAATGCAGCTGACATTTCAGACTAGGTTGTTCGGGAGAACTGTACAGTTAAGCAAGAGGAGTCACAAGGGAAGTTCAAAAGTAAGGGTTTTTATTTACCAAAAATCATTACAACAACATAAAGATAAAGGTTTGGGCCCATAAAAGAGATCAAATAAAGAAACGGTAACTAAAGCTCAGAACATAAGAGACTCAAAAATACAACTGACCTCCTACAAAAGAAACAAAGGGGACTTATATACTGGCTGATCAGACCAATTTTGACACACAGGGGAAGACTAACAACAACACTACTACATAACTACAGCAAAACCTACCTAAAAACTTATTCCAAAAGAAATATACTTTTACTTAACCTTAACTCAACAAAAATATTCAATATAATATAAATCTAAACCCCAAAATATCTAAGGAGAGAATAAAGCCACTCCCTGGACATAACAAGCATTGGTAGTGTCAAATTAGGCCACCTCCCCTATAAAGCTGCTCCTGCTTACAGCGCCAATCCTTTAAGCCAGCAGACTTCCTGGGTGTGGCATCCAACACTGGTAAGCTCAGAAACAAATAGTTATACAAACAGAATGGCAATCCAAAAGTAACTAATGGTGCGCACTCCCAAAAAGATGCTTCTGTATGGTCAACTAAATAAAGTAAAATGTTATTATAATATGTCCTGTGAGTAATTTGTAACTAAATAAATATTTGCAACAAATGTCTAATTTGTATGAAAAAAGTATATAAACTAATGCTAAAGAAAACAGCATAAACTCAGGAAAAATATAAGTGCATGAGGTTACCGCTCTTAAACTGGTTGTGAGGCCATGGCTGTGGCCATCACATGGAAGTACACACACATTTTAAGACCCAATTGGATTTTTGAACATGTAATATGTCAAACCTTTTTAGAAGTGTTTATGAAAAACATTACCACTACTTGGTGGAACATCAGCCTGCTCTTCACTGTCCATTTCCCCCCTTGCTTTTTCACTTCAGCTACAGGCTCTTTGCTGTGCAAAACAACCTACAACAATAGACCAATTTCACACGGGCTGAAAAGTTGGGAAGGGGCCTCTCAAGCCATTGTGCAAGCAAAATAAGGCTTTCTGGTTCCCACTTTTCAACTTTCTGGAGGAAGGCATTTCATTATCAATCACATCAATTTTAGCACACTACAAATAACTTACCTCAAAATGCACTTTTTGAAAGTTTCAAAGAGTCTGAACCACATCTTCTCCTTCTGTGATGTGTAAAATGCCTGTTTGCAAGGTTAAATGAAAACTCCCATTTTAACATGCAAAAATTAGGGTTCAGAAACAGACACAGATGAGCAAAGCAAGAATGAGAAATTACTGATGAATGGTTTGGACAATTTAGAAAGCATTATTATCATAGCTACATAATGGTGTATGACACCTGTTTCCTAACTCTTTAATTAATTGGGCTTAGGTTTAATTGGACATTACGCTGGGAAATGCCAGTATACACATGTTATTTTCCACTCCTTAGCTCCCATGACAGCAATGGGTCCTATTTTGTTTTCCCTCCGATGTACCTCAGCCAGGATGTGCATGAGCCTGCCAGCCGTTAACCCCACAGAGGAAGTGTGCAGGAAATGAGATCAGCCTTAAAAAGAGGTAACGCCTGAGCCACTGACACCAGACCAATAACTGTCACTCACTGCACCTGATACAGAGATAGAAAAAAATGCAACAAATAACAGGAAGGTCAGTATAGAATACAGTAAAATAGCATTGGACAGACAAACATGATACAGCAGGAGCACTAAAGAGAAGAGTATGTTATAGAAAAGCAGTAAGGAATGTAATACAAAAACAGAAAAGAACAAAACGCTCAAAATAGAACAGACAAAACAAAGAAATACAATACAGCACAGCAAGAAAGCAGAACATTCATAACTCTAACCATCACTCTGTCTCAAAGACAGGTTCTGTTGGAAGAAAGTGTCACAGTTCAAAATACCTGCGAAGGGGTGGATGTTGACTTCTGGCACTGTATGTAACTGTAGCAGTACACAGTACACAGTTTCCTTTGTGCTGCGATAGAATAGAATATAATAGAACAAATAGAATAGAGTAGAAACATCTAGACCAAAGCATAGCAGATAAGACTAGGCCAGAACAATAAACCACTGTGCAGAAGACAGAATGTTGAGTGCAGCATACAGTGTGAGAGGAGATTAAAGACAATAAAAGAATAGCAACACCCAAACAAACTATCAGACAAATTCTGTTTGAAAAAATCTTTTTCAATAGCTAAAAATACCAGCAGTGTTGGGTGTGTGAAACTGTCACCATGCCCTGCACACATTCTCTTTACCATGATGAAAGACACACAACTTCACTGAAGAAACCAGGCCTGACAGCAGTGTGCGCACTCGTGTGCGTGTGTGTTTGCTGTGCATATGTATTTGTGTATCTCAGCACGCACACAAGCAGCATGAATTTTTGTTTTCTCTAAGATCGAAAAAGAAAACATTTAGTTTTTTATTTATTGAGACAGGAGGCAGGAAGAATGATGAAACATTTACAGTTGCAGCTATCACCTACACCCAGTAACAAGAGCTTTTTGATAACATACATAGATACAAACACAACACTTCTTTTTGAGGCACAATACATGACTTCAGTTGGCAGAAAACTTTGGGTTTATGTTTTATTTGAAATGACTGATTTGTGTTGGCTTAAACCCCT